GCCCTTAACATTTTAGTATATGACCATAATTATGCCCAGCCGCCTACCTTGCGGGTCTCTTTGTGCATTTAATATGAAAAATAGTGTGGTTATAAAAAAATAAAAAAATGTTATTTAGGCTAAATTACATATTTTAAATGTAGTTTAAATGTTAAAATTATTAAAATACTCTTAATAATATTCTTCCATGTATTCATTCACTAATAATAATTTACTAATTTTAATATTTGCACTACGCATTATTGAAAAACATGAAACTCTTAAAAAAAAAAAAGGAAAATAATATGTTGTATGTCTCCCTGAAACGTTGCACAAGTGCATGTGTATACATTAGAGTTACAGAGGTGCCCTTACTCATGATATTGCTAGAGAAGTTAAGTGAAGTCTGATAGATCTTTTGATTAAAAGAAGTTATGGAGGAATTGGTGTGGTGATCCACAATTCACACAGAAATGTTGGTTATTGGTTTTAATAAATTAGTTCTATCTAATTATGCTTTAATGGCTGAAGCATTAGCTTAGCTTTGAAAAGTTGTGTAACACTCTGAATTTCAACTCGATAGAGAATTATGAATAAGTATGATACATAAGTCTGGAAACAAATTCTATTAAAAACTTGAGTTTAAAATTTTGAAAGTTTATGAATCTTATCTAGAAGAATTATTAAAATAATAATAAATTTTGACTCATTTCATTTAAATTGGTATTAAAATTGTTATTTTTCATAGATGTGGGTCTATACTAATCATCACGGCTGATGATAACTTAGATCCACTTATATTACAGATTGCATAGGATAAATAAATATATATATATATATATATAAAATACTAGAAAAAAACAGAGGGATAGATTGTCTAGAAATGAGTCTTTCCTTGTTCTTGTCCTTCTTCTTCTTCTTGCATCCCTTGGTGTTGGCTCAGCTTGCTGAAAATCAAAGGAGTATCATGCTCAATCTGCCTCAGTTGCTCAAAACTTCATCTTCACCATGGGATGTCATCAAGCAGCCAAACCCATGTTTATGGCAAGGAGTAACGTGCAGCGGCCGTCCCAACAACAGCTCCATAACGTGAATCTTGTCTAGAAGAATTATTAAAATAATAATAAATTTTAACTCATTTCATTTAAATTGGTATTAAAGTTGTTACTTCTCATAGATGTGGGTCTATACTAACCACATGGCTGATGATAACTTAGATCCACTTATATTACAGAAGATTGCATAGTATAAATAAATAAATATATATATATATATATAATACTAGAAAAAAACAGAGGGATAGATTGTCTAGAAATGAGTCTTTCCTTGTTCTTGTCCTTCTTCTTCTTGTTGCATCCCTTGGTGTTGGCTCAGCTTGCTGAAAATCAAAGGAGTATCATGTTCAATCTGAATCAGTCGCTCGGCGTCACACCTTCACCATGGAATGGAACCAAAGCGTCTGACCCATGTTTGTGGAAAGGTGTCAGTTGCAGCCCCCCAAACAACAGCTCCATAATCTCACTTTCTTTATATGGGTTTGGTCTC